GTCGACTATGTGGGAGTCCAGCGACATAGCCATTACGCTAACTGCTGGCTCCCGGGGATAGAATTTTTTTGAAGTTTAAAAAACCTATGAATTCTTGCATAACAAATTTACATTCTGTTCTTCTAATTTTCTTCAGGTGCAAGCATAAAATGATGACTCTTCTGATTTAAAATGTGCAATAGCTTTTGCAAGAATTTCTAAACGCTTTTATTTTTTATGTGTTTTATTCCCAGTTAATGTGAAGATGTTTAATCAGCGATCACTATTTAAAGTCCCAAGACTGCCTTTCTGAGGGATCAAGATCCACTTTTCTTTGTCTTGCTGATGGACCTAGTGAGTATTTTAAGTCCATTTCTCTTGCAACCTGCAGAAGTTTTATAACATGTGGAGTTGTTCCAAATATTATCAGAGAATTGATTTGAAATCCTGGTTTGCAACCCTGGTTTGTAATTCTTTACGTTTTATTTCGAATTTGATATTGGAGATGAATTGGCAAGGTAAGTATCTGAGGGTGGAATTCCTCCTGATCTGCATTTAAAACCATCCTGACAGCCACTTAGACCTGATGGTCAGAGAATTGGTCTGCTGCCTTAAGACTGTGGAGAATCCCACCACCTATGTACTGAGCTGATTACATGCTATTCAGCTTATTCTATATAATTCTAAAGGCTATCACTTCTCTTGCAGTACTTAATCATTTAAAAAATACTTAGACCACAATAGTTTTAATAGTCTGTTATTTGTAAGAATAGTTCATTAAGAACAAAAGATAGAGACATTATCAAGTTGATAGTGAATTTTATTATGTCTCGTTCTTGTGTTTATGTGTGTGTGTGTGTGTGTGTGTATGTATATATATATGTGTGTATATATATATTTCTTGCTCCTATTAAGAAATAGCCCGATTAATGATTGGATATCTTCCATGGGGAAGAATTTCTTATCTTTTAAAACAACCAACCTTCTAAAATGTAGTATTAGTAGTGTCATCTGGTCTGAGCAAAGTAAGTTATAGCATGATACATTCTAATACATTAAGAAAAAATTTAAATATTTTATAACTGTACTTTAGTACTTCTGGTAGAGCATGTATTATTTTCATATAGCACTCCAAAGGGCATGCAAAAGTTTCATTCAGTACTACAAAAAAATAAAATATTCATTTAACTGTATTTTATTAGAATGCAGAAAAGATCAGACTAGTAATCAGTGTTAAATGCTTTCAGAGAGCCAATTTATCATCGCACTAACTTAAATTTGTTCACTAACAGATTGTCTAAAGTAAAATTGACTTGATCACACATTAAACTCATTTTGTAATACATTTTCATTTTTTATTGACTTGGCTGTATATGTGTGCATGACAATTTCATTAGCTGTTAAATTACTCAAAGAAGAAAAGAAGAGAAAAACAACTATGTGTGCTTGAACTTCATGAAGTTTCTTGAAAACGGAATTAAAAGTACAAAATGAGTTTAATTGAGAATCATTTCAAAATCCTTCCTAAGTTTTTATGTATTACACATTTTCCACAAAAATTTGAAGATCCTTCATCTTCAGAACCACATATGGAACTCAGTTATTTCATAATACCTCAACTATTCTTCACTGTATTTTTGAATATATGATATTATGATACCATGATATATAGAAGAAAATGAGTATTAAAGTTAGCCCAAAGGTTCCACTCAGTCTGTTTATTCGTGTACCTCCATGTTTTTAATCCCTTTACCCTTTAGTTGCCACTATTCTAATCACTCATTCAGTCGTTGTCTAATGTTATTTATTTATTTCATCATTTAGGGATCAGTGTTTTTAAAGGGATTTTCTTACAATCTCTATGGTCAAGATAACACAGTTAGAATGATTATCTATTCTCACCAGACTTCTCATGTTTCTCTCTTACCTCTCTTATCAGCAGATCTTTTTCTTAGATCTAGGATGGACTATGCAGAGGTATTGTAGAGGTATTGCAGATTAAATTCCAATAATGATCTAGAAAACAAGCAATAATCCTGAATTAAGGAATTTACATTTTGATAAAATAGAAAAAAAAATATTTCAAACTACAGTTTAAAACTATGCAGTTCTACAGCATAAATTTATATCAAATATGCAATGTTATAGGAAGACAGATAGGGTGTTCTGGTAGCTCATCTTTGCATATTCTTGGCTACAGAAATGAGAAGATATTGAATAGTTCTTTTTGTTGCAATCTTTCATGAGACCCTTCCCCCCTCCTGCTCTGTGCTCACGTGTGAGGTATAGCACCAGCCTGACTGAGAATCAGCATTCCTGTCTCCTCCCATCCACTGTATATTTCTTTAGACCTGGAGAAATTACTAGGATTTCCTGATCTGAATATTTGTTGTTTAAAGAACAGAGGTTCATATTAATCAAATAATTGTCATTTCTAATTATTCAGTCTACTTTTGTAATAAATCTCTTTAAACCAAACTCTTTCGGGTAAATGGTTATATCTGAAACATTAACATTATTTCACCTCAGAAACAAAGAAGTAGTATCAGGTGTAATAAGCAGAAGAGACATCAACAAACTTCTCCACACCCAAATGTATTAATATTCTTCAGTTACTGGTAATGTCTAAACACTGTATCTGATAATAATTTTTGTTTTGCTATGAAAGTAGAATAGGAGGGCTGAGAGTGATAGGGATGACAACACAAGAAGAAACTGAAAATTATCTTTGATAATGTTAGATTTTTGCATATCATTTAAAATAGGTTGATGTCATAGAGTAGAAACCCATTTTTAAATGCTGCATCTGCTATTTATTTGCTATCTAAACTCAACAAAAAATGTTATAGGTACTGATCTTGTGAATTACCATGTTTGATATTTTCTAAATAGCCTGTTACAAAAGCATTCTCTATTTTTTTCAAAGAAATCCAGTGGCCCAGATATGACTATCACATCAAATTCAGACTAAGGTAGAATGTATGCTAGAGAGTTTACAATCCCATTGGGGTCAGATGATTCCTCATCAATGTGTAAAATAGCTTTGAGTGCATTCTCTCTGTCCAACATACTCCTTCCATTAGTTAAATAATCTCTCAAGATTGAACAAAAGTTAAAAAAGATGTACATTTATGAATTTTTTTTATTGATTTAGACCACATATACCATTGAGTGTTAACTGATCACAAAGTTTGTCTTTTTTAACAAATAATTATTATATTATTATCATTATTATTACTGTTTTAATTTACTAGGGTATGTGCTTACTGGAACAAGACAGAGAGAGAAAGATTGAGAGAGAGAGAGAGAAAGGGAAAATGAGAAAGCAAGCCTCCAGGTCCAGGATTTGGAAAATAATTGGTCATATGGGAGTCCAGAACGCCAACCACCACGCCATCTGCTGCTCTCCACAGCCTTAAAATTCCCTTCTATACATTTCCTTTTACTGACTTTTATTTCCCTTGATTGTATATAACATACA